CACCACTGGCCAGGTACAGGAGGAGGAAAGACATACATTTCGTCTCTTCTGACTCATTTTCCAAACATGGTTTAGCTCTAGACTTCAGATTGTCTCAGGGAACTCATTCATTTCTTTTCTGCTTTCATCTTGCCTGCAGATATAATGGAGGTCAAGATCAGGGAAGACTACAGCAAGGCTCTATTTAGTGCCACCTGGAAAACCACCCACATTTGGAGCTCCTTTGTTCAATCTTACCCTAAAATATCAATATGTTACAATTAATATTGCCCTAATATGTATCAATTGTAACTTTGTGCATACTGATACAGGTCTTTGTTCTAACTAACAATCATTTTGAGCTCTTATTCAAATGAAGAACTTGAATGCTCATGTAGTGGAGTAACTGGGTGATAAAAGGATTTTCCAACAATACTCCAACCCTGGCCTGAAGTCAGAATGAGAGGCTTTCTGATGTGACTTGCCTATGGAATGGAAAGACCAAGCAGGAACAATGAGCATGAGTGGCAGGAAAATAAGGACGCACATTTTCAGAGTTGTGGGAGATGTTAATGGTACACAGTCCAGACCTACAGCACATTGAGAACTAGGGCAAACTTGTAATGAGTGGCTGTTCTTAATCACTTCTGGTGATGCCTTTTCGCACTACAGAATCTGTGGCCATTTACCTAACCATCTTGAAGTCTGCTGGCTGCTAACTACAATATTTGTTAATGAAAGCCCAAGATATTTCCTAGCAAAGTAATTGGAGGTAATTGGGAAACACAAAATCCTCAGAGCACAAAGGAATGATTTCTAATATCACATTTTTGTAGGTTGGAAGAACAGATGTTTGGGCTCATCTGGGCATTTAGAAGGTCCCTTCAATCGCTGTTCAGTCTATTCCATGCCTCTGTTCAGTTAACCAGTATTACTCTTGTACCATACATTTTCTGATTCTTAAAGGTGGCCTATCTTGACCCATGACATACACTTGTATGCCAACAACTCCCAAACATAGAGCTAAGTAGTGACCTGATTTTGCTAGCACCAATACAATAATCAAACAGAAATTCAACTTCATTGAGTTTGAAATTTGGTCACAATGGGTAGAAAATAAATGGTGGATATAGATGTAAATATGACTACTCTTTCAAGAAAAAAACCAACAGTAAAATTCAGGGGAAGGGAAGCCTTTTGCTGATCATTCAAAGAAGATGCCTCTGGTACTTGCATCAGACCTGCTCAGTCTACCTCTGATTTTAGCTACAGGCAAGGCAGACAGTTCCTTGCAAATCTAGGCTTAGCTTGCACTTGAAAAGCCCCACTCTAAGCACATACCTTTCTGCATCTTGCTTCAAATCTTTTTTGACACTTGGAAGCATGTTAGGTCCTTATCTGACCACAAACCAGAAACATGAGGGAATTACCTCCAGGCACTATGCTCTCAATGGAGGAAAGGAGAAAATATATAAATATTTCAACTTCCTATCTTTAGGGTGGACATTTTGTCTGCTTCTCTGGTGTAATGGTGACTTCATTTAGCATAGCAGTAACTTTGATAATGTGCACTGAGGTTGACTTTTCCTCATTCCTTGTCCTCCTCTTTCCATTTACTCATTTATGCCTTGTTGCTACTGCCAAATGCTTTTGTTTGAATCTTGTCATTACCAGCTGTATCAGTTACTTTTCTCTCACTGATGAAACAAAATACCCGACACCCAAAATTAAAGGAGGAAAAGTTTATTTAGCTCACAGTTTATAGAGGTTTCAGTCTGTACATTATCTGCTGGCTCTAAGGCAGGGTCGCACATCACAGAGGGGCATCCCAGAGGAGAAATAGTTCATGGCACCCACATGGTAGCAAAAGGAAGAAAGAACCTTAACAGAAGCTTCATGGCCCTTTTATTTCATCAGACTACTTAGGGTGGGTAGCACTCACACCTTTAATCCTGATGCCCTCGGGCCGAGCATTGCACTACGAATCAATCACACACTCTAGGTTCAGCCACCTCTGAAAAAGCCCCACCTAAGACTGCTTGAGGCTTTGAGGGGACATCTAAACACAAGCCATAACACTAGCATTCAGTGAATTCTTGACTCTATAGTCTTGGGATCTTAAGAGTTTTAATCTTATTTTTTTCTCCTGGTACTGGGGATTGAACTTGGGTTCTTGAGCTTGCAAGTCAGGCACTGGAACCACTGATCTAAATCCCCTGCCCTGGCATCTTAGAGTTTTAATGAGCATGTTCACATCCTGTACCAAATATCCTCTGTGCATACTGATTAGTAGTTCAGCCCTTACTATAGGGCTGAAAGGGTGGAAAGTACATCTCTCAGACACCTTGTCATCAGGGTTCCAATTTCATTTTAACAAAGACACAATTTAGTGCTGTTATCTTCCACTGGTGATGGAGGCATGTGGCAGGAGCTGCAGGTGCCTCCCTGAGAATAGTCCACTGTGACACTAAAGGCATGGATCCATTGGTAGCAATTCTTGTGACTCATATATATATATTTGAAAAAATTAACTTCCCTGACTTTCTTTTTTGCAACCCTTCCGGGGCTTGTGTTAGCCTTTAATTCGCTGTGCCAAATCTCTTCCTGTTCAACATGCCTAGAGTGGCTTCTGTTTTTATGGTCAAATCCTGACTGATACACATATATTATCTAACTTTATTGAGAAAAAAGGTCTAGAATTTGAATTTGACTTGAAAATAGTGCTAGTTAATAGGTGAGGGGAAGATAACAAAATCTAACTCAAGTAACAAAGCAAAGGTATTTTGAGAGATGAAGCAAATATATTGGATGTCAAGGTGAAAATCACTTTAATGGGGAAGGTCACTGATGATAAATATTCTCTTCTTCCCCAAGAGACATTGGCCTGAATCAATTTGATGGGTATAAAATAGTACAGTTATAACAGGAGATGTATTGGAGCTCCCTGTAAGTCCCTGTAAGTGAATGAAGGAGGAAGGTTGAGCCAACCATGGAAATTTCATTAATATTTTTGAAGTGATGGTGTCATTTGACTTTTTTTTTTTTTTTTTTTTGTT